ACTCATGGGGCACCGGCTCCCCGTGTCCCCTCGCCCGGCCGCGCCCAGCCCGGCGCCCCGAGACGCGCAGAGGAGGATCCCGGCGCAGTGACCCGGGAGCCGCCGCAGCCCCTGGAAGCCTCGGCCGGAGAGGAAGGCTGCTCCCCGCACCTCCAGGCCCTTCCAGGCATCCCTCTGAGCCGCGCCAGAGGCCCGGCCCGCCATTCCCAGGTAGGAGGGAGACACCCCAACAGAACTGGGGAGGCGGGGAGCCGGGGAGAAAGGTTTGAAGCTTTGGGGGGGGAAGGTTAGGTGAAACCTTACAAGAAGTGGGAAAGTCAAACTGATTGAGCGTGTTACGTGCCAGGATCACCCGGCAACTTCACTTACCTAGAGAAAATGGAATTAGTTGAGCACCTACTCTATGTCAGGCTGGATGCTTATCCCAGGAAAGAAAGACTTAACTGAGTTTTTGTTGAAAGAGATCTGGAGTAACAGCATGTTTGAATATAGGGAAACTGAGGCTTAGAGAGGAAGAGGCACTTCCCTTCCCTAAACACTCCCCTCCTCCTTCCCAAGCTGGCTGCAGCCTGCAAACCTGGCTGAGGGTGGGGCTGGGGTGGGGCCAGCTGGTGGTGGCCTTGGTGAGGACCTCCTGAGAGAGCTTAAGGAGTGCCTTCCTTGTTTAGAGTTCTTTGAGCTTTGGGGGGAATTCGTGCAAGGAGTGAGTTTCCTGGGCGATCCCCTTCCCAAGATGGGTTTTCTGTGCTCAGCTGGCCAGAGGGCCTCCAAGCACCTCTACAGGGCTCTCTCCTTCCCTGCGCCCCCAACCCGGGGAGGATGACGAAGGGTGTAGTCCTGGACCTCAGGGGAAGTGGGAGGCTGTGCTGTGAAGGGGCAGCCAGGTCAGGAGCCCATGATTCAGGTTTCTTCTGGCGTCAGAGGGCCATGATGGGGTCCCCCAAGACCTCTGCCTGCACTCCAGTCCCTCCACACCTGACTGCTCCAGGCAGCCCCTTGACTGCCAAGAGGAAGTGTCACAGAGAAAGGAACCCGCTTGCTGTGTGCCAGGAGCTGTGTGAGCCTCTGGCTTCTCACTGAGCTCTCGGGGCCACGCTGTGGGTTTGTTTCTACCGTTTGATAGATGACCAACCCGGCTAGGTGCAGTCATTTGCCCAGGGCGACTGGACTGGTGAGAGGCAGATCTGGTCTGCCTCCTTTCTGCCACCTCAAGGGTGGTGAGATTGGCTTTGCAAAGCGCCCAGGACTCCTCTTAGTGGGGGCATGGAGGCCAGTGAATACATGTGTGTGCCCAGAGACTGGTATGTGCCCTAATGGTGGAGGCTTGGGGTGTGTGGGAGGGAGGGAAGGAGGGAGAGCTCAGGGTATCACAAGGAGGAGGATGTGGCTGGACTCTCATCCTCTGTTCTTACCCCTCTGACCCTTCCATCTTCCTGGCAGGCCCTGGGAGAGGGGCATGAGGGAGAAAAAGGGGTGAACCCACAGACGCGTGGGGCAGGAGCTGGCTGCTGAAGGTCTGGGGGCGTTCCAGGCAGGGTGCTTGCCCCCAGCTATCTGCAGCAAGAGACAGAGTGAATTAGAATGGACCTCTAGGCTCATTCCCCCAACCCTATGCCAGCTGAGGCTTCACTGAGTCAGACACTGTTTTGAAAAAGCCTGACTTTGGCCAGGGGGTGGGTTTTTTAAGAGGCAAAAGCCCAGACTTTGGAGCCAACAGCCTGATTCTAATCCTGGCCCGACCAGTCATCTGTGTAAACTGGGGCAAGTGACTCAGCCTCTCTGACCTCCCATGTCCCGATGGGTCCAGCAGGTTGATGGTGGTCCCTTCTTCATGGGACTGCTGTGAATTCACTGGGATAAGGCACACAGGCACCCAGCATGATGAAGATCTGCCAGGCTGTGGCGACCCTTCCCCCAGCATGGCCCCACCACCTCTGCTCCAGGCCCTTCTGCCTCCCAGGTGCCCATAGAAAGACCCTGGGGTGAGTCACAGAGCTTGCATTCAGGTACCCATGTGCTACTGGTGGCTCCCACTAACCATTCTCGGGGCCTCCAGGGGCGAAATCTACATTCTTAAAGGGCCCTTTGAACTCCGACCCCTGCTTGCTCCTCACTGTAGGGTCAGCCTGGCTGAGGATAGAGAGAGGGGAACAGGAAGTGGAGGAGAGAAGCTGTGCCCACAGCACCGCCTGCAGAACCTCCTCTGGGGAAGGAGACGGGAAGAAGGATGCGGGGATGGGGGGCAGAGCCCATGGAGGTGCTGTCACCTGATGGCCAGGTGTCTGGGTGCTTCACCCAGTCCCACGTGGCTGGGGCCATGTGCAGACTCACAGCCTTCTCTCGGAGACGAAAGCCACAGATTTTTTTCCTCCATTGCCCTTTACGGACCCCACACCTCCTCTCTCTGACTTCCTCACGTCTATTCAGTTGCTGATGTTAACGTGTCTAATACCAAGAACTCTGAGCTAGAGGCTGGAGCAGGCAGAGCAGGCACTGAAGGAGACACACTGTCCCTGGGGGCTGCCAGCCTTCTTCTCTGTGTAGACAGAGATGACCAGCAGCAGAGTCAAGCTCCTGGCAGAGGGACTTGGGGAGGAGGCTGTCCTGGTGTGGGGCCTCTTCCCCGCCCCCGCTAATCCCAGCCTCCATTGAAGGCCCAGACTGGCTCTCTCCCAGCCTGGGAGGAGACTGAAGAGTTCAGTGCTGTTGGCTTACAGCTTCCTCTCCCTTGCTGCCCACCCAGCTGTGTGCTTAGTTCACAGAGACCCACCTCGGTGTAGCTCCTGGGCCAGCTAGACAGGGTGGAGGGGGAGGACGAAGACCCCTGAAGAAAGCTCTGAATGATCTCCGAAAGGAGAGCCATTTGCTTCTTTCACGCACAGATCATTTATTGAGCACCTGCTGTGTCCATGGCACTGAAACCCTATGGTATAAGCTCATAGTTGGTTTCAGGCACAGATTGGGTGGGGATATGTAGGAGTTGTACATTTAGAGTCACCATCCTGCCTCCCTTATTAGCTAAAAGGGCCAGTCGTGTAGACTTTTAAGCATCAGATCCTTATCTGTGAAACAGGGAAGGGATTGCATACTTCATAGAGAGGTGGTGAGCGGAACCCCAGGGCATGGGGCAGAGTGCCTGAGATTGAAGCCCTCCTTGGCAGGTTACTGGCTGTGTAACCATGAGCAAGGTACTAAACTTCTCTGTGGTGCTTCAGTTTCCTCATCTGTAAATTGGGGTAACCACCTACCCTCTGGGGATCCTGAAGGATGAAGTGGGTTAGTACACATTCAACTTAGAGAGCTCTGCATATATTAACTGCAAGATAAATGTCAGCTGTGATTATTGTTCTATACTTAGCACAGTGCTTGGCACACTGCAGGGCTTGGTTACAGCTGATTGTCGTCACAGCTCCAGGGTCAGCGGTATGCTGAGCTGGCTTTTTGTGTGCATCCCTTTGCAATGCATTCACTGAGATCATCTTGGGAGCTTGGAATCGGCCATGGTGGGACTATGACGCCATGAAATTGACAAATGCTGCCAATCAGAGCTTCTATGAAGGTCTTTTTAAAAAACCACTTGACTGCATGGTGGCTCTCAATTGGGCAAAGTAATAGCACTGAACAGGTTGTGTGCAGTGGCAACCCACTCCAGTATTCTTGCCTGGAGAAGTCCATGGATGGAGGAGCCTGGCGGGCTGCAGTCCATGGGGTCACAAGGAGTAGGGCATGGCTGAGCAACTTCACCTGCTTGGTGGGGTGGGAGGCAGAGGAGCCTTCAGAGAGGAGGTGACATTTGAGCCAGACCCTGATAAAGGGAAGAGGGGTTCCGGGGGAGGGGCTGGCATGAGTTGAGTTCTCAGCAGAACTCAAGCTCACTAGGGGTTCCAAGTTGGGGGGAATTCTGGTGGGTGCTGAGAGAGGAGACAGGAGGGTGGCTGGGCTGTGAATGGCCTTTGGGTGGGCCTTGGAAGTTACTTATCTCTAATTGGGCTTTGGAGCTTGGATCCATTTCAGCCTCTCCCACACGATCAAAAGGTTCCTGTAGAAAGTTTTGGGTATTCCCCAGAACCATAAACTCTTGGAGCTATAGGGACCTGAGTCATTCTTGCGTCATTTCTCTGACCTGCATGCCCTAGTCCAGGCAAACTCCCAGGACCTGGAGGTTGAAAAACTGCTGGGCAGCCTGGTCCCTGGGCATGGAGGATGTGGTCTGGACCTGGCCTTTCTCTTCTCTCCGGGAAGGCCAAATGGCCATGGCACCCCCTTGCTTAAGAAATGCTCTCTAAAACCTTCCCCATGTCATGTCCCAGAGTCACAGGCTCCCCGGGAAGCCATAACTGCAGAGGACGGACGGTCCAGGCAGAGAACAGATTCCAACAAGAGTCGGCATCTTTGAGACCTTGCCATGTGCTGAGCCCTTTACAACAGCCCTATGAATCAAGTCCACTTTATAGATGAGAAAAGCGATGCCCAAGGAAGTTAAGCTCCCTTCCCAAGAGGAGTAGCGAGTTAGGGGTAAATCGAGGAGTCCAGCCCCATCAGTCCCATCTGGGAGTAAATAAGGGGTGAATGAATCCAGAGGTGAGTGAGTAAGAATGGGTAGACAAATGAAGGAGGAAAGAAACAAGACAGGGGTGTTCAGGCAGAACTCCACGGCCCTTAGAGACACGCCAGTCCAGCTTTCCCATTGTACAGACAGAGAAGTGAGTGAAAGGCGCACAGTCACGTCCGACTCTTTGCAACCCCATGGACTATACAGTCCATGGAGGTCTCCAGGCTAGAATACTGGAGTGGGCAGCTTTTCCCTTCTCCAGGGGATCTTCCCAACCCAGGGATCGAACCCAGGTCTCCCGCACTGCAGGTAGATTCTTTATCAGCTGAGCTATCACAGAACCAAGGAGGAGGCTAACAGGGGAGGCCACAGCCTCCAGCACAGGCTGCAGGACCAGGCCCCCGGCTTCCTGACACTCGGCCCCCTCTCTCTGCCGCAGCCCCGAGCCATGATGAAGACCTTGTCCAGCGGGAACTGCGCACTCAGCGTGCCTGCCAAGAACTCATACCGCATGGTGGTGCTGGGCGCCTCGCGGGTGGGCAAGAGTTCCATCGTCTCCCGCTTCCTCAACGGCCGCTTCGAGGACCAGTACACGCCCACCATCGAGGACTTCCACCGGAAGGTTTACAACATCCGCGGTGACATGTACCAGCTGGACATCCTGGACACGTCCGGCAACCACCCCTTCCCCGCCATGCGCAGGCTGTCCATCCTCACAGGTGGGTGCCGGGGGGTGGACACGGACCGTGAGTATGGGAGTGTGTGTGCTCAGCACTTTACAGCTTGCAAAGCGCTGCCTCCATCTGAGATGAAGCTCGTGAGCCCCGGTGCACCACCCCGTGAGGTCGGAGAGGTATTGCTGCTTGCTGACAGAGGATGGAGCCAGGGCCCCGGATCCCTTCCCTCTGACTCTGGTTTGATAGATCGTGGCTGCCAGTGCTGCCTTCCAGATCTGTGGCTTTACCCAGGAACAGAGGGGCTCCTGCCTTCTTCCTTACGCGGGTGACCCAGCAGAGCTCCAGGGCCCAGGGTCAGTCTGTCAGGCTCAGATCTATTGACACCCGAGGCCTTTGCTGCCTCTCAAAGACGCAGGGACAGGACCCAGACGGTGATCAGCCAGAGAGGCTGGTGGGGACCTGTGCATGCTGGGAACTCAGTAATAATCACAGTAATGGCCATGGTGATTGCTAACTCTTACCAGGAGCTGCATGCCTGGGCCTCTTTCTAGAGCTTGGCATGTATTTAATTAATCTTCACAACTAACCTAGGAGATGGGTATCTGCCTTCATTTTACGTGTGGGGAAACTGAGGCCCCAACAGGTTGAGTTACTCCAGATGATACACAGCTGGGAAATGGCAGTCTGGCTCTCAGGCTTTAACCCTGGGCTCTCCTGTAGCCTCTCAGCCAGGCTGGGAGTTGGGGGAGGGAGGGGAGCTTGTGGGGTATTAAGCGAGGGCAGATGGAGATGTGAAACTGGGCCATGCTTTTCGTCACACAAGCAGTTTTGTGTGGTAGCTAAGAGCACAGGCCCAGAAATTGGTCTGCCTGGGTGCAAATTCTGGTTCTGCTGTTTCCTGGTTTTGTCCCTCTGAGCAAGTAACTTAGCCTCATTGAGCCTTGATTTTCTTATCTGTTTCACATCTGTACCCATCCTAGAGGCCTTCATGAAAATTAAATGAGTTTATATAGAAAAAGTGCTTGATGAGTGGAAGGTGAGCACTCACCAAATATGGGTCTTATGTGAAACCTGCATTTGCAGTGTGCATGCCGTGGGCTGTGCAGTCATTTCCTAAGCCACGCTCTGCCGTTGCTGGGCAGCTGATGAAGGAAAGGAATCAGCAAGTAGTCCCCCAGCCATCACTAAAACAAACCCACAAATCAAAATACTTCTGCATCAAGAAACCCTTCCTATGCCCACCTCTCCCTCTACGGCCCAGCCAAGACCCCTCCACGAGTGCCCTGGGCATATGGCTTCCTTTTCCAGCTGTCCTCGCTGACCATCTGACCCAGATCACACTCAGCCTGACCCACTCCAAATTTTGGAGAAGAAGTTTGTGGACAGAGGGAGTCTGGGCTGACCTGGATTCCAGTCCTGTCTCCACCACTTGGCAGCTTACACATGGGAACAGAGGTTCAGATCTCAGTCTTCCCAGCTGCACAATGGGTATAATGTTGCTTCCTCCCAGGGTGACTCCTCAGCCTACAGGAGAGTGCCAGGGGAGGGGGCATGGGGGTGTTTCCAGGACACGGTGAGGATTGCAGGAATGTCCGCTCCCCCTACTATGGGGAGGGAACACAGTGCCCACCGATAGAAATAAAGCTAACAGAGGGAGGGAGAGAGAAGATATGGAGAGGAACCATGTGCATATTCCCAAACTTAAGTTTTAATTACACAAATAACACACAAATGCATGCTCCTCTAAGCATATAGATAAGGGTAAAAAGCCCCCTTGACCCTTGCTTCCACCCCACCAGGCTCCTGCCCCCTCCACCAAGGTAGCCACCCCATCAGTCTTCCAGACCCCCCATGAACATAATTGACATTCATGTTTGGGTCCCCAGAACAGAGTATTTTCGTCTTTTTTATGTGCACGTGTCATTCTGGGCACATCTGTCTGGCCACCCATATTTTTGCTCGCCAGCCTGTGCCTCATTTTCCAACCTGGTGCTGATGCACAGCGCATTCTGAAAGCCATTAATTCTTCCGCCAGCTCTCCTTCCAGCTGCCAGCCAGGCGTCTCTGAAACTTGGCATGCAGCTTTGCATTTGAATGTGTCAAGGCTGCAGAGTCCTCAGGGGCCTGGGATTAGCCTACCAGGGGTGGGTTTCACAGCCCAAGCAGAAATGGTTGCCAGACCAGCACTGCCTTGCAAGTGCCTTTCTCAACAGCCCACACCACCTTTCATCATATTGCATCCCGTCCACGCGGCCAGCTTTATGAACACCCACTGTGCGTCGTGACGAAGACTCCCTTTGCTCTGGAGCGTGTCATTGGCAGGAACGCAATCCTGAATGTGCTGTGTGCTATTTTGGGGGGACAAATGGTATGCCCTGGGGGTCCAGAGGAAGGAGGCAGCGGGGCTACCAGAAGCTGGAATTGCTTGATTCTCCTCTTGAGAACGTGGGCTGGTCCCCGGCGCCTCTGAGCCTCAGTTTCCTATAAAACAGGGATCTTAACATCTCCGCACAGGTTCTCAAGAGTTTAAGCCAAAGTGCAAAAGGTGCTTTGAGCGTGAGATTGTGATCACTGTAGTTAGATCTGAAAATCAAGGTAGAGGCACTGGTCTTCTCTCACCCTCCCCACCTCCCCATCATCCCTGTTTCTAAGACCTACACTGAAGGATACAGCAAGTTGTAGAGGGGTAGTGTGGGCCTCAGAGGGTAGTTTTCACTTGTTCATCCATCATGTATGCAAGAAGCAGCGGGCACTTGTGTGTGCCAGGCACCAGGAGTCGGGTCCAAGTCTCGGCCCAGCCACGCCTGAGCTGTGTGATCTTGGGCCAGTTGGTCACCCTTTCTGAGCCTCAGCCTGCCCACCTATCACGTGAAGGTAATGAAATCTCCCTCACAGAGTTTTCATGAGGAATCCAGGGGGACTCAGGTGGTTCTTCCACGTGCTTGTTCTCTTTATCCTTTTGAGATACAAGTCACTGAGCCCATGTCACTCTCCACTTATTATCTCATCTGACCCTCAAAAGCATCCTGCATGGGACAGGTGGGGAAACAGGTTTAGGGAGGTGGCATGACCCACGCAAGTGAGTGAGGGGGCAAGGGATAAACCTAGGCCTGCCTCCTGCCAGCACTCTGGGTTCCTACTGTACACCAGGGGCTGCTCCAGGCCCCAGGGATGTGCACTGAACAGCAAGAGCCCTGCTCTTGTGGAAAGTGTAGTAATTACTATTCTAACACAGTCCACACAAGCTCAGAATCACTCACTCTGTCTACGGCCCTGCAGGGAAATGTAGGGTGGATCCATTGTGTTTGAACCAGGCTGTGCCATGTATTAGCTCCGTTACAAGCGATTTAACCTCCTGGGCCTCAGTCTTCTGCTCTGGAAAATGGGAATAATAGCAGATCCCCCAGAGAGTCACTGTGACGGTCAGGTCAAGGAGTGGGGAGAGGGCAAAGGAGCTGCCTGTAAACTTACCTCCCAGGGTTTCTGTCTCCGCAGGCGATGTGTTCATCCTGGTGTTCAGCCTGGATAACCGGGAGTCCTTCGATGAGGTCAAGCGCCTCCAGAAGCAGATCCTGGAGGTCAAGTCCTGCCTGAAGAACAAGACCAAGGAGGCGGCAGAGCTGCCCATGGTCATCTGCGGCAACAAGAACGACCATGGCGAGCTGTGCCGCCAGGTGCCCACCACCGAGGCCGAGCTGCTGGTGTCCGGCGATGGGAACTGCGCCTACTTCGAGGTGTCGGCCAAGAAGAACACCAACGTGGACGAGATGTTCTACGTGCTCTTCAGCATGGCCAAGCTGCCGCACGAGATGAGCCCCGCGCTGCACCGCAAGATCTCCGTGCAGTACGGGGATGCCTTCCACCCCCGGCCCTTCTGCATGCGCCGTGTCAAGGACATGGACGCCTACGGCATGGTTTCCCCCTTCGCCCGCCGCCCCAGCGTCAACAGTGACCTCAAATACATCAAGGCCAAGGTCCTCCGGGAGAGCCAGGCCCGCGAGCGGGACAAATGCACCATCCAGTGAGCGGGAGGGATGCTGGGCTGGGGCTTTGGCTGGGCCTTATGGGAGGTGGCCCCAGCGCCTGCTGCCCACATCCCCCGGACAAAACCTCAAGCGCAGTCACATTCTGAGACCTTTGGTGGGCTAGACCGGAGGACTCCGGCCTCAAACCTCTGTATAGTCTCCTGCCTTCAACCGCTTCCCTCTGATTCCTCCTTTCTGCCACTCCCCTTGGGTTTCAACTTCTCCGGGGGGGTGGATCTCTGCCAGGCAGGAGGCAAAGCTGGGTGACATCTGGACTTATGTCAGGACCCAAGTCAGAGCTTGCCTGTCCTTGCAAGAAACGCTGATGCCAGATGGGCCAGGGTGCCGGCTTCCAACGGAGACTCCTGGAACATCAGAGATGAAAACAACCCCCCGAGTCGGCTGGGAGGGGGCGCTGCCCTCCTGGTATAAGACGCAGCTTGGTTTAGGTGGCAGCTGGAAGTCTCCCCCTACCCCATCCTGAACCACTAACCCTCTGGCTCAGCAGTTTCTATCGCCTGCCCCCTGAGTTGGCCCCCAGCTCTCCCTGACACTGAGCCAGGGGCGTCTCTGTGTTCGAAGTGGGTGTGGCCACGTCTCCTTGACCGCCTCCCTCAGCCACCCCCCCCCCAGGTTCCTCTCGTCTGCTGGTTGTGCTTTGTTGTTGCGGCTGTTGTGGCGTGTTCCCAGTAGAAACGGAAATCATTGTACTGTAAAAGCCTAGTTATCCCTCATTGGCCAGGACCTTCCCCCAAGTTCAGATCCGCTGCCTCCACGGGGGACACCTTCCTCCTCGGCTCCCAGATGGGGTTCCCGTGGCCTGTTCGCAGCTGGACACTGCCCTCCTCACAAGCGTCACGGTTTACACTTACATAGACGGGGCGGGCAGGCAGGCCGGGGCTGCATCTCCTCCTGCCCCCATTTCACAGAGGAGGCAGCTGAGACTCAGAGGGCCACGGAGCAAGCCCCAGCTCCGCCTCCTGGCTAGTTCAGGATGGAGCTCCGTCTGAAAGCTGGCTGTCCTCTGCTGTGCTTGTTCCTCAAGCATTTATTGAGCACCTCCTGGGTGCTGGGTCCACTGTGCTAGAAAACAAAGAGGGTAAGCAATGCACTTGACGCCCCTAAGGCTGAGGCTCCTGGCTCCAGCCTCTTTCCCTCCCCTAGCCTGGCCTCTGACTGCCCCTGCTGCCCTACTGCCTATGTGCAAGCAGCTCTGGGGAGGTGTGGAAGAGCAGCTGGGAGCTAGAGCTGAGCCCAGGAGAGGCAGATAAGAAGAGCTCCTGGGGGCCTTTTCCTGGTGCCTGGGATGGGGTTGTGCTGGGTACCAGGCGTGGTGGGATTTGAACCTGTGGACCAAAGGCTCTTGTCATCAGCTCTTAACAAAGACATTTTGTGTTTTAAATCTCCTTGAAACGATTGAAGTTTAGAGCCACAAGGCGCCTTAATGATTGTCTAGTGAATCCGAGGCCCAGAGAGGGTAAGTAACTCGCCCCGGGTCACACAGCAAGCCTATGAGAGGCAGAGGCAGGGTTAGGTCGGGGCATTCAGCACACACTATGATGTGCCCCTCTCCTGACCCGGCCTCAGCCCCTGGGGCCTTCGGGGATTTGAGGTGTCATCTCCCTGAGCCTCTCCGCAGATGGGCCTTTGAGGGCTTCTATAGATCCTGTGTATACTGTACCCACGTATATACGTGTACACACACGTGAACACCCAGAGAGACACGTGCCCTGGCCTCAGCTCTGCACACCCCACACCTCCCACCCGGCCCTGCTGTTTAAGGCAACCGCTCTGACCCTGCTTCTGTACCCCCACCTGGCCCCAGCCTGAACCCTCTAAGCAGACCAGGTACCCTGGCCAGGACAGATGTGTGGTTTGCTTCCCCGTATCTCTGTGTACACTCTCAATTAAAGTGGGTTTGTTTCTAAGCCGTGTCCTTGACCATGTGTGTTTTCTGTATTTCCAAGAGGTGTGGCTCTTCTGCAAGCATAGCTGGCCTTTCCCTCCCCAGATGGCACCTGCCTGGTGCCCTTGCCCTGCGGGTCAGCGCTGAGTCAGCCATCAGGGTTAATTAAGTACATGGTGGGAGTGGGGAATAAAGCCCCCAGACAGACGGGAATAACAGCCCTGACCCTTCTGGGCCCTCTGAGGGCTGTGTGCTGAGGTGTCTGTGTACCTCTGAGGAGTGACCAGGTCAGACGAGACACCTCCTCCCTGGGGACCATCAGCCCTTTGTGATCACCATGCATCTGACTTCTAGGTGGCACTCAGAACCATGCGGAGAACATTTGGCAATAACGGGAAACAGTTGTGATTACCAGAACTGTGGAGAGGGGCGGCATGCTATTAGCTCTTGGTGGGGGATGTTGCCGAACACCCCCCAGGGGGCCAAGGGCAGCCCCCACCATAAAGAGTTACTCCATCCTGAAGGTCGGCAGTGGGCAGCCTCCCCTCTTGGACCGTCAACCCTTGAGACCAGGACACGGCCCATATCTATGTGTGGTTGATACAACCTACAACTTTCTGGATGGTACTTAATAAACACTGGACACGCAGAACGTGCCCTCGTGTGAAATGAGATAGGACGTGGGTGGGGATGGCAGGTGGAAGTGGGGGGAGGTGGAGTGGAGGGAGGTTACACTTCCATGTGTAACCCCAGTGTGGCACCTTGAATGGAAGTTCTCCTTGGACGGAGGGGAGGGGATCAACCACACCCCTGCTGTGTGAATGACATCCCTCCTCTCGCTCCATCTTCTCTTCCAGCCCCACGAGAAACATGCTCCTCATGTTCACGCTTCTTGTGGTGGGGAATTAGGCTCAGAGCGCTCAATATCTTATCCAAGATGGCACAGCAAAAGGGGTGAAGTGGCAGATCATGGACTTGAAACGAGGGGTCATCTGAGCTCCATGTGAGGGAGGAAAGGATTTTGCATCTGGGAGATGGAGACAGGTCTGTGCTTTTGATGGGTCAGAAAGTATCACTGAGCAGGAGGGGCAGGTCTGGAGAGGGAGGTTCAGAGAGAAGGAAGACAAGGTCCCTGTGAGCCGAGGGCTCATCCAGAGGGAGAGAACCCTGTGCAGGCATCCGGGTGAGCCTGGCTGTGGTGGAGGAAAACCAGCCTGGGAGAGCTCCCGGCCTTCACCTATGGAGGAGCCCAGCTTCCCTCCCATCCTTTGCCCACGCCAGACAGAGAATGTCCACGTGGGAGGCAAGCACTGTGATGCTCTATCAGTTCTGGGTTTTGTAAATGTGAGATGTGGAGGTGAACATTCCTCTCTGTATTGCAGGTCAGAACCGCACCCTAAGAAGGGCTAAATGGGGAGGCAGTTGGGCGCACCCACACAAGGCTTCCACAGTGCACCAGAGCCCAGGCACCTCTGCCACACTATGTCTCCATGGCGGAGGCGGTTGGGGGTGGCTGTGAATACATCCTATCTCTTCCCAGACTTCAGTTTCTTCAGTTCTTAATGGGAAGTGGCGAGGAGGACAGCTGGATCAGACAGCACGTGAACAGCCCCTTACAGCTCTATGTTCTCCGCAAGAAGGAATTAATATTCCCACTATATAACCCACAACATTCTGATCGTTACTAAACAGAACACGTTTGCTCCAGTCCTGGCCCCAGCCCCACTCCGCGCATCCCACAGATTCACCTTGGAATGGGGTTAACAAAAAGCTGTGGCAGAGGAGGCAGATGTCCCAGAACAACAGCCCTGGGATGGACAGTGGAATAGATTGTAAGAAAAGTTCCTCTCATACAGAGAGCATTCACAGATAAGCCCAGGGCAGCCAGCTTAACTTCCATCCTAGGAAGTGAGCACTGGGAATCTGATTTCTGAGAATTCTGAGCAGCAGACTCTAAGGACTTGTTCTGTTCCACCTCCCTGAACCTGTCACTTACTCCAAAGAAATACTTCAGTCTGCACCCTGGCTTGGTGGGGGGCTAATGAGAGGCCACCGGGGCTCAGCGGCAGAGGCTACTGGGAACGCGGAAGGGAAAGGGAACCGACCTTTGTTGCTGGCCCGCTGTGTGCCAAATACCATGCTCAGCCTGTTCCCACATCCTCTGATTGCATCCTCGAGGCAAAGCTATATGGATCCTCATAGGAGGGCCCTGAGGCCCAGAGAAATAAGGCGTATGCCTGGGGTTGCACAGCCAGTTAAGTGGCAGAGCTGGGCTAGAATTCACGTCTGACTGCAAAGCGTGTTTTCTCTCTAGAGCTTTCATAGCTGAGCCAGATAGAAGTTGCTCTCTGGAGGGAGAAGCCAGCAGGTAGGGATGTGATATGCAAACATGGTTCAGAGAACTCGGGTCGATGTCATTCACAGGGAGTGAGAGGCCTGCCCCTCGTAAACAAGGGCACAGCCACTGCAGCTGAGAAGAGCTTAGCTTCTCTCTCATGGAGAAGCCCGAGGTGGGCGGACTAGATCAGAGGATGGCTCTGCTCCACCGGGTCATTCAGGCTTGCGGGTCTCAGGCTCCTCCATCTCTAGGATCGTGTCACATCTGCAAGGTCAAAGCCACTGCGACGTTCCGGTTCAGCTGGAAAATTCAGGGAAGAGAGTGCAGACACTGCGCCTCCGCTGTTTTCAGATCCCTGGACACATCCGTCTGCTCACTTTCCACTGGCAAAACTTGGTCTTGTGTCTGAACCTCCCTGTGAGAAGGGCTGGGAAACACTGTTCCTTGCTGGCTGGCCCTGTGTCCAAGGGTGACTCGTAGAAGAAGACGGGGAGCGATTGGCCGGCCAGCTAACAACCTCCACCCAGCCACCCTCACACAGTGGTCGGGACCTCAGGACTCATGTCCAACCTGCCTTCCAACAAGCTCCACACTGCAGACATGATCAGAAAGCGGCTCTGACTTCCCAAGTTTTCTTTCAAGTGGCTCTGGGTCTTACTTTCCCCATCCCTCCCCGAGAACTGGGACAGTCCCATGACTTTTCTCACCTGTACCGGAGAAAATTTGGATGGCAACAGTCTCAATTTGGAGAAGGAAATGGCAATCCACTCCAGTATTCTTGCCTGGGATAGCCCATGGACAGAGGATCCTGGTGGACTGCACTCTATGGGGTCGCAAAGGAGTCGGACATGACTGAGCGGCTAAACAACAACACAGCCTCAATTAAAAGTCGTTGGTCATGTGATGATCGACATTTCTGTCTTCATTCCAAGGAAAGAACTTCTCCCCTTCCTCCAGCTGAGCTCCGCTGTGCACAGAAAGCTAGAATTCAGGAAAAAGAAGGGTAGGCATTTTCTCCTTTTTTTACTCTCCATCTTCCATTTTAGTGAATTGCAGTTTCTTTTTCCTCTGTTCTTGGGGGATGGGTCTGGGGAGCAGGGTAGGGGAGAAGTGGGGGAGGGATGTTCTTACTTGCAGGGCTCTCTGATATTGAGGAAAGACTGTCACGCTTAGAGCTTGGAGAATGTTTAGTGATGGTATTAAAGTCTAAGAGGTTATTCTGTAGATTTTTCAGAGACCAGCCCACCATCACTGGGAATCTCTCATGTGTGGGAGTCTTGATGTAGTTCTGTACATCTCTGTTTGGGGTACCTGCTTAGTCTTTCTGCAGACCCTAGGACTGTTCTGGCGTCCATGGATTCCCTCTTGCCCCTCCAGGATGCTCACTTGAAAAGGGTTGAAGGCATCCCCTTAGCAGTGTTCTCTCATGGTTATCCCACATTTGCTCTATATCAAACTCACATTATTTGCCCCAATTAGCTTGACTGTAAGTTGATCTTAGTTCAGGCAGCTTTTTTATTTGGCTGCACTGCTTGGACTGTAGGATCTTAGTTTCCCAACCAGAGATTGAACTCATGCCTCCTGCAGTGGAAGTACAGAGTGTTAAGCACTGGACAACCCATGTTGTCACTTTAATTTTTTTTAATTTTGAACTTATTTTTTATTATTTATCTTTTATTTTTATTATTAACTAAATAATTCATCTGAGTTCAGTAAGGATCATTAGCATCTAACTCAGACATCTATCACCCACTGGATTTGTCAGGCAGGACAGGAGCCCACAGAGCCCTGGGCTACAGGGACATGCATCAAGCACTTGAGGCTTGAGATGAGGGCAGACACTCTCACAGAAGACCATAGCACTCTCCAAAAATTCTCTTTACCAAGAAATCCTCTCACTACCGACTCTTTCATATCTTTGACATAGGTAAGAAGTATGAGTGTCAAGTAGCTGGCTCTTGGCCATCTATGTTAAAAATGTTGCTATTTATTTACATCTTGTTTTAGAATCTGAGAACAATCTTGTTGGGTCTCAACCAAAAAGAAAGGGAGAGGCCAGCCTCATCTGCCAGGAAAAAGGGGACTGGGAATGACACGCAGGGAGGGGTTCCAGCCTCATCCAGGAAACGGAACAGAACAGAAAAGTGAGTCAGATCCCAGTGCAAAGACTGAACCAGTGCAGGTACCCTGGGCACACACCTTAATGTGCGTCTCAACAAGAGAGGCAGAGCTTCTTAACAGTTAACAAATGGACTCTGATCTGAGGCTTTCTGGGTTTCCCTGGTGGCTCAGATAGTAAAGAATCTGCCTGCAGGGCAGGATGCCTGGCTTTGATCCCTGGGTTGGGAAGATCCCCTGGAGAATGGAATGGTAACCCACGCCAGTATTCTTGCCTGGAAAATCCCATGGACAGAGGAGCCTGACAGGCTACAGTCCATGAGGTCCCAAAGAGTAGGACACAACTGAGCGAATAACATGCCCTCTCACTCACTGAGACTTTCTGGGTCCAAATCTCAGCTCTGCTATTTTCAAGTTGAGTGTCCTCAAGAAAACTACTTTTGTATCAGTCAGCTTTCATTCCAATAATGCTGTCTAACAAACCACCACCAGATTCAATGGTTCATAACAAACATTTCTTCTTATACTCACTGGATTCCAGGTCAGTTGCAGTCTGAGTGGTTTAGGCTGGATGTTGCTGGTCCTAACTTACATACTGATCCTGTTTTAATTTCAAATTTTGATGTTTTGTTCATTGTGATGTCTTATTCCATTTAAGCTGCTATAACAAAAGTACCATAGGCTGGGTATTAACAACATGCCCATATTACAAAATAAATTGGTTTATAAGCAAATTACATATTGATCACATAAACTGGCTTATAAATAATGAACATATATTTTTCACAAATCCAGGATTAAGTACCGGCAGCTTTAGTGTCTGGTGAGGGCCTGCTTATTTTTACATAGATGACCATCTTCTCACTGTGTTCTCACATAGCAGAAGGGTTAAGGGCGCTGTCTAGAGTCTCTTCTATAAAAGCACTAAGCCCATTCATAAGGGGCTCCACCCTTATGACCTAACTTTCCAAAACCCCACCTCCAAATACCAGCACATTGGAAATTAGGATTTAAAATATGAATGTGGTGGAGGGGGGACACAAACATTCAGGCCAAAGCAGTGGATATCTTGCATAACTTTTTATTTTTAGGATATTACATTAAACGTCATTTAGCTTGGGGACTTGCCTAATGGTCCAGTCAGTGGCTAAGACTCTGAACTCCCAATGGAGGGGGCACCTAGATTAGATTCCTGGTCAGGGAACTAGACCCCGAATATCGAAACTAAGAGTTCCCAGGCCGCAGTGAAGATTGAAGATCTTACATGCTGCAACTAAAACCTGGAGCAGTCAAATATGTAAATAGACAAATATTTAGGCTGAGCACCGAGTAATTGATGCTTTCAAACTGTGGTGCTGGAGAAGACTCTTGAGACTCCCTTGGACAGCAAGGAGATCCAACCAGTCAGTCAATACTAAAGGAATCAACCCTGAATAGTCATTGGAAGGACTGATGCTGAAGCTGAAGTTCAATAGTTTGGCTACCTGATGCAAAGAACCAACTCATTGGAAAAGACCCTGATGCTGGGAGAAATTAAGGGCAGGAGGAAAAGCGGGTGACAGAGGATGAGATGGTGGGATTGCATCACGGAGTCAATGGGCATGAGTTTGAGCAAACTCAAGAAGATAGTAAAGGACAGGGAAGCCTGGAGTGCTGCAGTTCATAGAGTTGCAAAGAGTCAGACACGACTTAGTGATTGAGCAGCAAGCTTGGACCCTGAATTTATTGGTATCTCCTTAAATTTTTGCACCCGAGGCAATTGCCACCCTTACCTTACGCTGGCTCAGGCTTCCAGATAGGTTCTGGTCTGCCTCACATGCTTATTCTAGGACCAGTTCCCCCTCCCCAGGCTGAAGAACCTGCAGCTACTGAGTGTATGCACTCCCAAGATGAATCATAGAGTACAAAATGATGGAAATGTGAGACCCCAGCCTGGAGCTGGCCCACTGTCATTTCATCCACACTTCACTGGCCAAAGCAAGTCATACAGCCGGCCCACAACCCTTAGAGTGGGGAAATACTGTGTCCACTCTAGGGGAATTACATGGTAAAGGGTTTGCTTGTATGTTCTAATACAGGGAAGGCCTGAAGGACTGTGAATGTGACAGCCTGCCGCACCTGGCCTCGCCGAGACCCGCTGCGGGCCGCCTGGGGAGGGTGCGCTCCCGATGAGGCCTCTGCTCTGCAGCAGCAGCCCTGGCTGTGTGCCTTTTATGAGCCAACCTCGGATGCTTCACTTCTCTGCATCTCTGTCCTTCATCCGTGAACTTAGGGAGGGCCACACAGGGAGGCACACACAAAAGCACTTGGCAACTTGTGAAAGGGGTGCAAACACGTGTTCACTGCAGGATTTTAAGACACAGCCCCCAAATACTTCGACACCCCTGTCTGCGAGAGGTAGGGTCTTTGGCCCCCTCCCCGTGATCTGGATAAGCATCTGACTGCTTCCACCGGTAGCGTATGCTGAAGTGATGCTGTGTGTCTTCTAAAGCCAGCTCAGAAAACGTCATGCGGTTCTGCCTGGTTTTCTTGGAACCTTCTCTTGCTCCCAGGATGCTCCCCTGCAGAGCCCAGCTGCTGTGCAGTGAGAAGCCCACTCCTTGTGGAGAGGCTGTGTCGGGGCACTCCGGAAGCAGTTCCAGCTGAACCAAACTGAAGGTCAGGCATGTGCAGACAGGAATCTTCAGGTAGTTCCCAGCCTTCCAGACTGGGCAGAGAGAAGCCATTCTTGCCGTGCTCTGTCCAAATTTCTGATCACAAGATCTGTGGGCAGAAGAAAATAGTTGTGATTTTATGCCAGTGAAGTTGGAGGGGCTTGTTAGCAGCAATATATATTTAAGACATTCACCAAACCCCTCCTCACGGTCTGGATCTCAGAGCATAGAAATGAATCAGGTGTGGTGGTTCCTGCTTCGTAGAGAACCAGAAAGCAGCCCAGAGAAGCAATTGCACCGTATCCTGTTGTGTGCTATCTTAGGGGCTATGGATGTCCCAGTGTGTCTGGACAAGGTTCTGGACTGCCTTTTCTGGAAGAGATGTTGCTGGAATTGAATCATAATGGATTAATAAAAGCTACACAGGAGGACGAGGGAGTGTTCAAGGGACTAGAGCTGAATGCATCTTTGGCTCAGAGGACAAAACCCACTGTTCCTGGAAACACCTTAAATACCCGGCTGCCACAGGACCTTTGCACTTGCAGTTATCTCTTCCTGCTTCCTCTATAGTCCCTGCTGGCTTGCTTGGTCCTTGCATTCAGAATTCTGCTCAAAGAAGTTTCTCCTTTCTTCTTTTGTTTTTCTTTTCTGGCCACACCATGCAGCAAGTGGGACCTTAGTTCCCTGGCCAGGAATTGAACCTGCATCCCCTGCATTGGAAGCATGGAGTCTTAATCACTGGAGCACCAGGGGTATCCCTTCTCCTGACTTCTTGACCTAAGCTCTGTGTGTGTGTGTGTGTGTGTGTGTGTGTGTGTGTGTGTGTTAGCAGCTCAGTCGTGTCTGACTCTTTGTGACCCCACGGACTGTAGCCTACCAGGCTCCTCCATCCATGGGATCCTCTAGGCAAGAACACTGGAGTGGGTAGCTATTCCCTTCTCCAGGAGATCTTCCTGATCGAGGGATCAAACCCAGGTCTTCTGCATTACAGGCAGATTCTTTACCATCTGAGCCACCAGGGGATCCATCTTGACCTAAGATCCCCCCAATCCATCACTCTTTGCCCTCTTTTCCTGGTTCATCTTTCCTCATAACATTGATCATCACTTGCCACTTTATAACATGTATGTTTACAAAGTGGGAAATACAGGAGGCTAAGGCATGTTTCCCAGAGAAGCATGGTTCCTGGCACACAGTAGGTCTTCAATAAAGGTATCAGGAGTGAGTGGAGGAACAAAGAGAGGGGCCGGATCAGCCGCACATTTGGAAGCCCACCTTGGCTGCAGGGAATGGGTCAGAGGGACGTGAGAGAGGATGATGAGGAGAGGGTGGATGCGAGGTGATAGAACTGAAGACCTGGGGTCCCAAGCCAGCTGTGGAGAGCTGCATTGGGTGGAGAGTCGATGACCAGTCTTGGGCAGCTTGGTATTTGGGCAGCTGGGTGGTGGTGCCAGTCTCCAAAACGGGGCACCATTAGGACAGTGTGCAGGTTAGAAGGAGGCCATGAGCATGGGGGATGGGACAGGAGGATAGGAAGAATGGGTTGAACTGGAGTCCTGTGGAGTTTGGAACCTCAAGTGCAATGGACCGGCAGGAACCTGGAGGAGAGAGTCCGAAGCTTAGGAGAGCATCCAGCCTTAAGCAGGGGACCTGAGGGTCGTGTCAGCTGTGGGAGAGCGTGGACTAGACAGACCCGACAGTAAGAAGAGGATCCAGAAGAACGCAGTGTTTAGGGAAAGACAGAGAGTGAAGGATGGCAGAAGGAGAGAGGAGATGTGGGTGGAAAACCAGAGTGTGTGGCCATGGCAGCTGGGGACCAGGAAGGTTCCAGCAGGGATAGGTGGGCACTGGTGTCAAAGCTGCCACGAAAGGGCAAAGCACCCACGAGACACTGGAAGAAGCTGAGCGAAGGGACAGACTGTGTGTGATGGGACAGGGTGGTGAGCCAACAGTGAGGGTCCCTTTTCCACTTAAAAAAAAAAATTTAATAAGCAAATCTGGAAAATGGGAGAGAAACTAGAGGGAGAAAAGGGGTTCCAGAGGCTGTTCGTACTATTACCAATTTTGAAGACAGAGAGGCAGAAACTTGCTGAAATACTCTAGAGAAAGATCCAGAAGCAACGGAGGATGATGACACAGGAGAGGAGGAGGGGGTGACTGCTGGAGAGGGTGGTCTCTGGAGACGTGGGGAGGGCAGGGATCCAGGGCACGGGGCGGAGGTGGTGGCTTCAATCAGGAGAGAGGATGCCCTCAGAGGAAGGGGTAGGGGGAGCAGAGCCCACGCTGGATGGAGTGAGCTTCCTTGAAGCCCTTCCCTGCCTGCCGGAACAATCAGGGTCCTGGTGAGCTGCCTGCTGGGGACGGAGGCTGGTCCCCAAGAGAGAACATTCTCAGCTCTCTAATGTTTTTATAAGAAATTAAACCTCAAGAAGAAAAGCCCAAATCAATTTTAACCAAAGTGAGTAACAAGCAGAGAGGATGGCTGCAGTCCAGGAACGTGGGGAGTGCAATTCATAGAGACAACTAAAATGAAAAAGCCTATTTGACGTTGAATATTCACTGTGCATCCCCAGATTGGTGCTAGGAGCTGAAGGCAGATTAATAAGGCCCCCAGGGAGTCTTGGGGTGGGATGGAGGGGACACAAAGGTACCACAATTCAGGTAAGTAAATGTTGACAAGGGAGGGAAATGTTCTCAGAGGAATAACAATTAACAGCTGCCTCCTAAGGATTTATAGACTTTTACCAGGAAGAACTTCCTGGAGGTGGAGAATCATATTATTCTACTTAATGTAAGTGTAATCACATTTAATATAAAAGCTCTCAGCTCAGCACCTGCCATATCATCAGCCCTTGATATAGTTGAGTCTTTAAAATACTATTACTAATCATGTTCATGCATTTATAAGTTTGACTTCACCCAACTTCCCCTCCCCCATGGTGGGTTTTTTTTTTTTTTTTTGATGCTTTCGATCACTGTGAGTCCTTGACATTCACAAGAAATACAGCAAGAGAGCTTTAAGAACCCCACCCTGGGAAATACTGTCTCCAGCATAAACTGTCCCTCTAAAGGAGCAGAATGTTGTTGAAATCTGAAGCTGCTGTCTTGGATGTTTAGCAACGGTAATGTCAAGACTGAAGCCATTTCTGCAGTTATTAACGTGTGTTCCATTGCACATCATACCTGCCTCCAGTCCCCACTCACTTGAGCTGTTCCCGGAACTGGCTCAGCGGCCGCCTAGAACCAAGTGTGGAATCACTGCTCCTGGTTCCACTGAGAGCCGCCCTTGGTGGGCTCATCTGGAGCCTTGGGTCTAAGCTAGGGCTGAGTTCCACTCTCCTCTCTTTCATCCACTCCCTGCTTCCATTTTTTCAGACTCAAAGCCAATCATGTTTCAGATGACTTTGTCTTTCTTTCCCTGATTAGTACTAGCAACTGAATTCTTCTGAGGCCATGTTCCTGAAAGGAACTGTGTTTATCACCAGGTGGCTGGCTAGGCTCACTCATTAGCTCAGTTCCCTGCTGACATCTTTTTTTTTTGGCTCCATCAAAAATATAAATTATTACAAGCCGTGGACCTTTGGATCACTTGAAATGAGACCAAATTGCACGCTAAACCCTTGAATGTCAAGGACATCTTGGGGCTTTCTGATTGCCCTCCCCCTCCCAAACACAGCCTTTAAATCCCCTAATGTTCCACACCGCCTAACACACGCACACACACATGCACACAAACACACATGAACACTTGGGGTGCATGCCAGATGCACACACAGGCATCCACATTCAAACACAGACATATGAAAACACAGCACACACAGCATGCTTGCACACACCAGCTCACATGCATGTTTGAACACAGAGACACTGTATTCAGACTCACACATGAACACACAGTCATGCATGTGGCACACAGGCATACATACATCTCCCCCACACGTGTATGCACACATACAAATGCAACCACACATATACAGGCACACAGCCGCATTCACAGCCATACATGCTCACGTAAACAGACATGCAAATGATCACATACACATGTACACACAGCCTGCCCACATGGATACCCCCTCATACACACACGCACATAGGCAGACACAGCATGCCTGTAGGCAAGGCACACTCTTGCACACTCACGCACACACATGAACGCACGCCTAGACGCAGCAGGCACAGGCATGCCCAACACCCCGCCGAGAACAAGTGAAGAGGAGGAGGAGAAGGCAGACACATCATTCTTCCCCTTCTAGTTCAGATGACTTCTTTTTCTTGGCATCAACTTTTGTTTTGATATCTTTTGTTATTTTTTTAGATCACGAAGACACGGGACTGGAACCGAATCCCTAAGTTTTACTGGTAGGAGATGCGATTTCTAGCAACAAATCTGCTAGAACAAAGTGACATATCCAAAGAAGAACTTGGAGGCATCTCGGGGTTATTGTTATACCTGTAGCACCCCAGCACCCCTGCCCTGCTGCAAGGAGGCCACTCGCTGGACCAGAAGCCTTGCTCTTCCTTCTAGAAGCTCTGCCACTCTTTTGCTGTGTGTACTCAGGCAGTTTGCTCCCCATCTCTGGTCCTTCCAGCTTTGACGTTGGAAGGTTTGAGTATCTCCATATAACAAGTGGAGGACCATTCCCAAGGTTTCCTACACAGAGCCCAAGTGTGTAGCTTTCATCCTGAGGCCAGTACTACAAGGCTTCTCACATATGAATGTGCACGTGAATCGCCTGGGGATCTTGTTAAAATGCAGACTCTGAGTCAGTAGGCTGGGGCTGCCCTGAGAGTCTTTCTAACAAGCTCCCCGGTGACGCCCATGCAGCTGGCCCAAGACTATCCCTTTACTAGAAAGGCCTTGCACTCTTCCAACGCTTTTCATAAAGGTGAGATAAGGCTGAGTTTTGTGCCCTTCTCACTACACCCCAAGCCCCTGACTGGAACAGCAGTGATGTCATCTTCTCTCATCTTGCCCCATCCTTCAGCTCTGGGTCTCCCCAGTACCACCCACCTCCCTTTTCGAAGCCAGGCCCTCAAATCGTACCCCTACCTTTGGAGCAGTGGGGTGTCAGAGGGATGGAAAAGGTCTGCGTTCTGCCAGCCCTGAGC